TAAAATAAAGATAAACAACAAATTCAGTCACTTTCTGATATGTATATTGTAAGAAAATTTGTTTGACAAATTAATAAGTTTTGAGAAAATTTTAATGAGCATTTGATTAAGCAAAAATATTTTATTTAAAAATTTTTAACAATTATATTATTCAATTATAATATTTCATTATTCGATTCTAGATAGAATTTATTGTAAATAAAATTTGATATGTTCTTATAAAGAAAATGAAAATAATGTTTGTAACATTTACCAATAATATCTTCAATTTCCGATGGTCTAAATATATGTTTCGGGAGGTTCATAGTTTATGCTCGCACTATTCTTCTCAGTTTCTTCTTGATTCATCACATCCTTGTCATTTTTCGTACTTTCAATATTTTTCGAACTTTCATCACTTTCTGGCTTAAGTATATTGTGCAAAATAGACAAATGTGTCTCTAAGTCGTAACATATAGATACATATTTTTTACAAGGAATACAATATATTCTTCTATCCATTACGGGAAATGAGAAATAATTATACAACCAAGAATATAGAACTTCATTTTCAATCCTCATTTGTTGTTCGTGAAACCCGTAGTGTATACATAAAATTTTTTCTAAATATGCATGGTGTAATACACGTTTACAATAAAGACATATCGCAGTATACGGTTTGCCTTTTGTGAAATGTTCCCAGATTGGATCAGATTCAACTGGTTCCTTTTTCCATTCTTCGTCTGCTTCTTTGTTAGATATGCCATGTGCATATAAGTGTGCTTTATGCATATTAGTTATGCCGAAAGTAAATAATGTATAACCAACGTTACATATTTTACACCGTATTTTATTGCCTTCTTTTTTAAAATGCTTCCACGCCCAACTGTCTTTTTCTGCCATTACGTCCGAATAGTATCACAGAATCACAGAGCGAGCGTTACTAAATATGTTATATCACTATGTCAGACGGAATACTCGACGAAACTATTTAGAAAAGATCGGAGGTTATAAATCTTAGCTAACATATAAATATTGGTATATACTTCGAATATAGCAAAGTCATATCATTCTGTAATTCTTTAATTATTCGTCTTTCGGAAGCAAAAACTGTGAAATTTCTTGATTTGTTAATCAAGAAATATAATAATTTTCCATTTATGAAAATATCCATTTATGAAATTTATGATATTTTCCATTTATGAAAAATTAGCGAAAAAAAATTAGCGAAAATTAATCGAAAATTTATATGCTCAGTTGGTCTAATTCTAAATTCAAATCCAATCTTTATATATATAAGAATACACAATATTGTTGATAGAAATTAAAAGTATATTTGAATCTTTAATTTTATTTAAATTTATACTTGAAATGTTGACATTGAAATTTAAGTTTTAGCTGAGAAATTTACCTGACTTTAGATTCTACAAACGTGTGCTGCAATCACATTATTTATTTTCTGGCATATGTTTTTCAGTAAAATTCAAATGTATTGTATCAATTTCTATAAAACTTTATATATTTTTGGTATTTGCTTTGGTTATGGAGAATTTTCAGACACAGTGGTAAAGGTGAATAAATGAAATTCTTCTGAAAGTTAAATTTTATGCTGTTTACTACAATACAAATTAATTAAATTAACATATTTACTCGCGTCTATGTCCGCCGGTCGAATCTTCTTCTTGCACTTGAGATATGTCGCACGACTTCTTTCTCATCTTCCTATCTTGCCCTTCGATTATATTCTCGAATTCCTTAAAAATGACTAAGGCGCTTTATCTGTTGGCTGTTCCAATGTCATGCTGAGCAATTCGAAGCATTCATGACAATCGGTATTCAATATTGTGCATCGTGGCTTCATTGCATCTTTATTAAATATTAATCTAATAAATGCCATTACATCGAAAGTACATCTAGAATCGCTTTCTTATTTTCCTCATCACTCGAACTATCTTGTATATGGTCTTTTTTTTCTTTCTGTTTAATTCATGCTGACAAGCGATCAGCTGATGTAGTTGTGTGTGTGTGTGTGTACGTGTATGTCTTGTTTTCGCGAATTTGATAATCCCGACGCGAAATCTATATTTTACCGTCGGGATCGTGACAATCCGACCGCCATACATTTATTTTATGCTATCACATTAAAATTATTTATACACTTCGATCTTCACTTAATATTAAAATACTTAAAGAAGATTCGAAATAAAATATTTTTAAACAACTTTTTGTAACTCTCTCCTTTACAATTAGAAATGTGTATGCAATATATGCGTACAACATAAAAATATTATAACTATCAAAATGCATTATCTTTACTTAATATCCGCTTACGAAATAATGAGGGAACTCATTGCAAAAGAACGACACAACCAATTGACATTTGAATATCTCTTTAACATGCTCTTTTAATACAGATTAATTCCAATCGATTCTAACTCAAAACGAATACCTTGACATGTATTTCGACAGATTTAAAATTTCAGCTTTCTTGGATATTTAACTACATTTGCATTATGATAGGTATAAGGTATTAAATTATTCCAATCTTAGAAAATGTTTTGAAAATATAACTGCTTTTTCTTTATATAATAAAGTACCCAATATAATTTCGTTATCATGCTCATATCGCAAAAATAAATCCCGTAGCATTATAAAAATATTGTCATGTTTAAACAAATGACAATAAGTTATCGTTAACATCGTTAATATCGTCGGCTACAATTAGTCATCGGAATTTGTACTTTATCTGAGATTTATCAAAGAATTTCTTAAAGAAATATCTAATCAAATTCAATATTCTAACATTTGCTTTAAAAAAATTTTACAATAAAGATTTCTAAAACTTTTTTATCGAATATAATTAAAGAAATATGTTATACATTTTCGGTTTAATTTTAGTTTACTAAATGCAGATGCTATGTGCTATCATCTACAACATGTTATAATATTGTTGAAATGAGATATATAAGATATGAGTGCAAGTATAAAAATTAATACAATTCATTTGTTACATCCTATAATATATAATATATTATTTAGTAAAAATGACTTATTCAATCTGATATTGATTCTATATTGATTGAGTTGATAGGTGAGACAATGTGAATAATTAAATTAAATCTTGTTACATATTGCGATATATTTTGTAATCTATTTTATAAATAAGTATTTTATAAATAAACAAGTTGTTTTTGTAAATATCGTCTTATTAATAATATATATAAAAATGCGTCTATTTATATTATTATAAGTCACTCGTAATACATGAATTTTCGAATAAATTCAAACACGACATCTAAAGTTCTATTAATAGTTCTAAAATTAAATTAAATATAAAGATTACATACATGGCGTCTACAATTCAATACAGTAGTATAATGAGTTATTTTAAAATGATAAAATGAGTTATATTATATATAAATTAGAACTATTCAACTTTTAAAGATAAATCTCTTCAAATAAAGATTATTTATTGTTAAATTATATCATCTAAATTTGAATTCTTGTAAATGAATTAATTATTTAAATAGTTATAGTCCTAATTTAAATATAATAGCAAAGTATAAAATATAATAAATATATAAATATTACAAAAACTTTTATGTAGTACATAATTATGTTGATACATAAAATTGAATTACATTAAATATAAAATTTAACTATTTGAAATATTTGATTAATTAATAATAATTTAAAATAAATAACGGAATACACAACGAATTACATATTTGATGAAAATTTTCATTTAATTTTCGTAAAATTTCGGTTTATAATGTACGAAAAGAAACAATTTCTCGGCATGGGTGTAATTCTCTTCAATTAAAGTGAATTTCAAGATCTGATATAAGGACGTTGTTACTTGATACAGAATTCGCTCTCAACATTTATTTCGAAATGTGTATTAATGTTCTTTAATTATTCTGAAGTCATCAGTAATCTGCAAGCCAATGTGAGATAAATAAAAAAACGAGAATCACCTTAATATGGTTAATATAGAATTATATTTTAACTGTATATACTATTTTATTATTATATAAAAATAGAATTTTTTTTAATTATCCAAGAAATTATATATTTAAAATCAATCATCGGCATTCAGGAATGCACATGTTTTTAAATGTGTTAAATGTATATATCAAATAGATAACAATAAATTAAAGGCTTTTTACGTGTATGATTATTAATATGTGTTTTTTTTATATTGACGATACAATGATTTAGAATATTAAAGTTTCAATATATCAAAAGATGTATAAAAAATAAAATAATATACTATTAATATTAAGATACATATAATTAATGTCAACATTTTTATAATAATGTGCCTAATATGTAGGATCTGATATGTATAAGCAAAAATGTAATTTAAATTTTCCAAGACAATATAATTATAAATAAGACTTGTAAAATTTACCATTTTTAGTTTTAATTGTCCTCTTTGTCTGCAGCTTTCAAATATGTATTATTTTGTTGAGAATTTGTGTTTTTATTATTCTCTTCAGCTATCGATAATTACATCCAAAATCTATTTCTTATTTACAGTGTCTTTTTTTATTCCTTTTTGTAATTTGCTATATTAAAATTTGATAAAATTTAATAAATATACTTCATGTTTTTTATTGTGGGAAGTATTTTTAAATTGCATTTGCAATAATTGCATTTTGTCATTTTCATGTGGTTACATCATAAATGTCGTAAAATGTCGTGTTAATCAGACATAATTAGTCAGATATCGATCAGAGATTTAATTATACTCAGTTAAATTTTGCTCTATTTCTCCTACATACATCA